GTGGTGCTCCGCTAGTGACAGAGATGGAGATGGAGGAAGAAGGGGGAGCAAGATGGCACAACGCAGCTCCCCACGCAAGACTCCAACGCACGTACTCCAAAATGTGCAAGTGAGGAATGAATCTGAAAAYAGAYAATGGCTGGGGTTTACCCCAGCGGACTGACGGGACTGGAYTGGATTGGCTGGTACCGACAGAGGTACCGGCCTGGACTGGCCTACCCCGAATGTAACACAGGCCTGTGAGAACAGGCCAAGGGGCTGGTCTCACAGGCCAACCCGAGGTCCGCTACAGAGTTGGTATGGTGGCCGGCAGGGGGGAGTGTGGCCGGGTTTTAGATTGATGGTGTGAGAGACGCCACGATTGGGGGGTAGACCGGCGGGCAAGGACTTGGGAAAGACGTCCTTGAACTCCGTGAGGAGGGAAGTGATGCGTGGGTCGAAGGAGGGGCTTGGTCTGGTTTGTCCGTTGGAAGCAGGTCCCTGGGAAGCTCACGATCAATGACGTGGCAATAGTAGGCGGAGTCAGGATATTGGCGGGTCATGTGGAGGAGCTGATGAGGGGAGACGGGGAGTGGGGTAGTAGGAGGAAGAAGGTAAGGGATGTTGATGGTAGTGTCAAGATTGATGGAATGAGTAGGGCATGTAATGGTCTAGCTGAGGGGTTCTCAGGACGATGTCACACACGAGGTGCATGGCATTGAAGGAGATCTGATTGTGAAGATGACCAACAATCATGGTGATTTGGGGAATAGTGCGATCGATAATGATGGCCGAGTCCTCGCCCCCGAATTAGATAGCAGTAGGGGAGTTGTAGCCGGTAGAAGAGAAACCGACTTTGCCAATACAGGCGTCGGTGATGAAGTTTGCGGTCGCACCAATATCAAGGAGGGCCCGAAACTTCATCGTAGTTGCTCCAAGAGAGACAAAGACAAACTTAAGATGGAATTGAGCGGTTCCGGCACAAGCAGAGGGGATGATGGTGTTGAGGCGATGTTGCTCCAGGCCTAGTCTAACAAGCCGATCGTGTCAGGCGTGCTCCTTAACAACATTAGAGAAGGTAATGGAAGAGGGGTTGGGGAGGAGGGTGGAAGAGCACGAGGAGGTGATCATCTCGTTCGGCGGGGTAGAGGCTGATGGAGGAAGGTGCACGCACCAAGGGTACAAAGGTCATGTTGAGGAGGGGCGGGGTCCCGCGGTGATCAAAGGAGTGGATGGCGCAGGCTTGCTCATGTGGCGAGTGAACTGGTTGGCGTTGGGGCAGTTGGTTTCCTGGTGTCCAAGCTATTGGCAACCGAAGTGGCCATTGTTGGCGTGCAAGCAGGTGCATTCCTCGGTTGTGAGTTTCTTGAGACATGGGGGTTGGGTGGATGAAGATGGTCAAGCCATGTGGTCCTTGTGTTCCATACACAAAAACTCGATGGTGTTGAGTTCGTTCGAATTGAAGGACATCGAGGACGAGGAGTCGAAGATGGTGTCGGGCTCGACGAGAGAGGCTATGAACTCGTTCGAGGAAGTGGTGGAGGTGGTGTCTTCGAAGGTGATGTTGTGAAAGAAGCCAGGGCGGGTAGGGGCCGATGTGAGTGCGGCCTTGTAGGGGGAGAGGATGCGGTCGATTTGGAGGGCACGAGTGAGGAGGTTGGCAAGGGTCATTGAGGACTCGTGGATATGAGCTGCCGCTAGGTCCTTGCGGCATACCCGCTTGGTGCGGGAGATGAATGCGGTGTCGCTGATGACGTCGATGAGGATGTGCTGACGAGGCGAGCGGACGTATTGAACAAAACGGTCGGTTGGCTCGTTTTGGTGGAGCCGACATAATTGGTCGAGGTAGTCGTCGACCGTTTCCTATGGACGAAAGGTGGAGGTGATCATGGTGGCCCACTCAAGAAACGAGTGAGGTGGAAGATTGGCATGATGGCAGTTGGACATTTTTGTGTACCACGAGCGATTGGCGCCATCTAAGAATTCGGTGCCGGAGATGGGGAACCAGTGGATGACGGGAATGTTGTGGAGGGAGAAGGCTTGTTGGAGTTTGGTGAGAAAGAGGAAGACATCCTCATGGGATTGGAGATCTCGTTGGTGTGGAATGATGGAGGGATAATGCCGACTTTTGGGGCAGTGGCGGCCCAGTTCCACGGTACACATTGAAACAACCGGACACAAGCCGAAACACAACCAAATCAAAGCATTTTTTAGGGTCATCACACAATGCCACCAAAAGCATGTCTGTTGTACTCCAGATGTACAGTACAGTGGCTAGAGGGCATTGAAGTCAAGGGTGGGGGAGGAAGAAGTGATGCGGGTGAAATCGTTGGTGGGGTTGGTGGGAATGAGAGCGTTTGGGGGACGTAGTGGAAGAGCGGGATACAAGGCTTGTGGCGTGGGAGTGATCTGGGTATAGGTAGGGAGGGTGGAGGTGATGGTGGACGAAGTCAAGAGAGGTTTTGATTGGGGGGGGGATGGTCGACGACTGTGTGACGGCGGGGGTTGTCGTCTTGGGCGAGGGGGGAGATGGGATGACCATAGTGGAGGTGGTGGTGGATGAAGGCGGGGGCGTGGATGACGTGCTGGCAAAGAAAGCGGTGGAGGTGGAGGAGGAGGTATTAAAGGTAGATGTGGAGGCGGAGGGTGGGGGAAGGGTGATGGAGGCCGAAGTGGAGGAGGGGGTCGTGGTGGTGAGGACTTGGATGGTGCTGGAGGCCTGTTGTTGTTCGACGGTGGTTATCCGGTTGGAAAGGTCGGAGTGGGACGCTTGGAGGGAGTCGAGGGTGGCCTTCATGGAGGTCATGAGGGAGAAGAGGATGGAAGAGTCAGCAGGGGCCTCCTGGGCGTAAACCTGTTTGCCAGTAAGTTCGCGACGGAGGCTATCGACGGATTGGGTGTTGATGGAGGTCAGGTTGATGCTAGATTTTGTGGCCATCGCGTAGGAAACAGTCGGGGTGGGGGCGGTTGACGGAGAAGCGGGTGGTGATGAGGTGGAGGCGGCTTCAGCGTCGGTAGCAGCGGGGGTGCGCCGATAATTCTTGGTTTGGTGTGGCATGCGGGGGTTGAGGAGGAAGGAGGGGGTTGAAGGTTCTTATTTCCAAAATGAAGAGGATTTGGAAAGTTTTATTGGGAAATGAAGGAAAAAAGGAAAGAATTTATTCCGTATAATTGAATTTGAAATGGTTTTCACCTTGGTGGTAGCTGTCACAGTTCCCATAGCTCGATCCCCAGGGGTGCGCCGAGAATTCTTGGTTTGGTGTGGCATATGGGGGTTGAGGAGGAAGGGGGGGGTTGAACGTTCTTATTTCCAAAATGAAGAGGATTTGGAAAGTTTTATTGGGAAATGAAGGAAAAAAGGAAAGAATTTATTTCGTATAATTGAATTTGAAACGGTCTTCACCTTGGTGGTAGCTGTCAGAGTTCCCATAGCTCGATCCCCAGACCTCGCCCTCACCCTTGTACAGTAATAGTCGACCGTGTGTGCTTGAACCCGCCACCTGTGTCTTGAAAGTCGTTATTTGTTTCTGTAGGTAGGATGGTCGTCGGGTCTTTAACCGTAGGTCTGTAGGATAGAAAAAAGGAAAGAATTTATTCTGTATAATTGAATTTGAAATGGTTTTCACCTTGGTGGTAGCTGTCACAGTTCCCATAGCTCGATCCCCAGACCTCGCTCTCACCCTTGTACAGTAATAGTCGACCGTGTGTGCTTGAACCCGCCATTTGTGTCTTGAAAGTCGTTGTTTGTTGCTGTAGGTAGGATGGTCGTCGGGTCTTGAACAGTAGGTCTGTAGGATAGAGGTCTTAGCCAGGGCAAGAGTCGTAGCTGCTACAATGTTGAAAGGTCAAGTCGTAGTTGCTACAATATTGAAGGGTCACGTCTATAGTCTTCCGGAAGGTTTGGAGCTGACCCTTCGAAAGTCCTAGTAGGCAGTCTGTAGGCCGGTGGGGAGACTAACTCTTCCCAGTCAGTGGTACCGAGTCTCGGTCGCACTTTATTAAGTCAGCAAGTACCATGTGAGACTGTGTGCACCTCGGGGCCAGGGCCTAGGGGCAGACCATTGACAGTTTGGAGTATAAATCAAGAGGCAGCGTCAAGTCATGCATTCATTCTGCCTATGAGCCACGCGGAAGCGCTTGCTGAGCATCTTGTGCAAGGTCTGCAGGTGGCCGTAGATGAAGAGGGCCAAGAGGAGGAAGTCGGCCATAGCCGAGCTTGTAGTAGTAGTAGGAAGGCCGCCACGTAAGCGAGTTAGAGTAGCAGTGTTAGTGTGTGTGTATGTGTGAGTGAGTGTGGTTGAGTGTGTATGTTGCGTTGGGACATTCAGGGAGATCCAGAGTTGTGTGTGTAGGAACGAGTTGCGGCCATAGCCGAATAAGATTAGTTTGAATTGGAACTGTGGTCGTGACTTCTTTATCTTTGAGCTTTGTGTGGGCGCGAGTCGCAAGTTTGATCGTCATTTGTTCGCATGCATTCTGAAGGTGGAAGTCGACAAGTCTAATTGCATTGCTATCAAAGCTGGTTCCTGCTGTCCTGATTGTCGTCGTCGCCATCATCGTCATCATCATCGTCGTCTCTAGGAGGACAGAGCGTGACGTCAGATCGTGTGACGTGGGCACCCGCTGCTCGGGCGCCGC